GCGTATGACCTTCTCCACCAACCTGTAGCTACCCATCTCCCATCACTTTCAATTTGCCATCCCAGCTTACCTTGGTGTGAGCAACGATCCGTGACGTGAGACCTGATTTTCCTCTCAGCTACAGAGGTTTACCAGATGTAATTGCAACTGGCTGACTTCACTAGAGTTACTCTCAAACAGACGCAGAGACTGGCAAGGACAGAACAAGCTCAGAATATTTGCACAACATACTGTGTAAAAGTTAAACAATACCCAAATGCTGAGAGACTAATCATGTAAAATCTGCAAACCCCTATTTCATTAAATGTTGAACCATACATTTAAAACTCTTTGTCTTATAGACAAGAGAAGCACTTCTGAAAATCTTAGATGACATTACAGAAGATGACTTCTTCAATTTCATACTGTTTGGTAGTGGAGTGCATACCTGGAAAGAAACATTAATCAAGGCCACTCCTGAGAATTTGGATGAAGCAAGGAAGTTTGTTCGGGGCATTGACACTGAAGGCAGTAAGTACTTTACAGGACTTGCCAATAGGAGGTTGTGTAAGTTAATTTTCAATTCAGTCTGAGAACACAGTGCTACAGCGTTTGGTTTGATTACTGATGACACACTCCTAAAGCTGAAATTTACTCAGAACATGACATGTATTTTTTCTTGTGTTTCCAAAGTCCAGGTACTTTTCTATATAAAAATCCCCCTGCTTGCAAACCCAAATCTTTCCTTTTCATACCGTAATGAGAGCTCCTCAGATTCCAGTGAAAAATGGGCCTTCTTTTTGACTATCTGTGCTGAACCCAAATTTCTCTGTCTGCCTTGCAGTGACAAATTTACATGGTGGTATAATGAGGGGAATTGATATGCTAAATGCTGCTCATGAAGGAAACCTTGTGCCTAAGAGAAGTGCTTCTATAATTATCATGTTAACAGACGGCCAACCCAACGTAGGTAAGTTTGTGTTGGATGGAATAATAAAGAGAGTGAATTAACTGAGAAAAAAATGCTCAGTTAAAATTGGCCTCCGTCTTTGACTTCTGGATGTTTTCATGATTTAAAAGGTACTATACCAGCATCATACTACTAAAACATAATGCCTCCTAAGAAATCTGAACATATCTAGCCACATTTCATTTTGTGATAATTTTATCTATTTATAACGGGAACTCAAACTTCTGGTTTGATGCAGGCATATCAAACACTCAGGACATTCAGGCACATGTGAAAAAAGCCATTGAAGGAAAATATCCCTTATACAACCTTGGGTTTGGCTATGGTGTTGACTACAACTTCTTGGAAAAGATGGCACTGGAGAATAAAGGATTGGCCCGGCGGATTTATCCTGACTCTGATGCGGCTTTACAGCTTCAGGTACAGTAATCACCACCTAAATTAGGTGAGGGAGACATTCATTCAGAGAACTGGCTTTACAGCTTCAGGTACAGTAATTACCACCTAAATTAGGTGAGAGAGACATTCATTCAGATAACTAGACAGACGTTCTTATTTTGAAGTAACCAAAGTCCCGGAGTGTAATCTGGTACTGAGATACTCAGGAGTCTGCTGTAATCAGAGTATTAGTTGCATTTGATTTTCCCTTTCCCTTATATAAGCAGCAAGTGGAAGGACAGTA